GGTGTATAAAATGCGGAAGATTCGCCCATCCGTGTGCATAAAGCTACTACTGACTTTACTTAACTTGAGTATGATGAAACGTAGGAGGATCGAGCCCCTGGCCACCACGCGCATCTGCTGTTGGGTCATGAGAACCGACAATCTAAGTGTGTCGAGACGAATGACATATGACACTAGTAGACGAACAATGAGACTGATGATGTCGTTTGCTTGAAAGCACAAAACTGAATGCCAAGACTAAATATGGTAAACAATCGCTGCGTGTTCTAATTGTTATGCAAGGGATGCGAATATGGAACCCGTGATTTTAACACAAAAAAATCCAAACCGATTTCAACTAATCCCGAGGGACAGTGATCAAGAGACAACTCCCTAGAAAAGGGTCACAACAATGCGGATTTTTATCAGAAAATTGTTTTGTTATTGGCAGCCATCCTAGACGAAAACACGGCTTGTTCTCCTCTGTTTAGATCAGGGTGTTACTCAGCCTCCGGTGATCTCATTCTGTTCATCTGTGTATTGCAATTTAATGTTTCATGATCGGTTTCAATTAAGGTCAGGAACCGTCTTGTCTAGTAGTAGTCTAAGCGATGAACAACGAAGAAACAGAAATGTAGTCACCTGTCGGATCAGGCTGAATAGACCCACGTTTCGGTTCGTGAAGAGAGAAGAAGTTGGCCAATCCTCCCCGTGAACTGAAACACGAAAGCAGAAAGAGATGTGAGAATATACACTTTAGTAGTGTGAGATACTACTCACAGGTGTGAGTAGTCTGCAAAAAGATGCGATTGGCGGTTTATTTCAACGGTCGAAAATAAACACCACTTAGAGCAAATTGCTCTGCCCCACAGAATACCTGCCGACTGTTCCATTCATTACCCGGTGTGTTGCCGCGAACTGTAATGATATGTTTCAAATGAGATATGCTATTATGCGTACGCCAAAATTATCGATATCCTAACTGCAATCTGCCGGGCACTGTCTTCTGGAATTATAACAGTAGTAGTAGTTTGTGTATTTGTAACGTTTTCCATTTAATAAAGGTTTAATATTTTAGGAAAGATGAAAATAACGAGCAACTGAGGCAACGAAGACAACCGATGGGTCAGCACACGGTCCTGCTCTAGATGCTTGACGCCGTTATAAACACCTCAATAAAATAGGTTAGTCGTTCTAACCAGACCTTTTTGCTGCCAGTCTATCTGGATTTTATGCCTCCGTATGGTCGTCAGTGGGTGTCTAGGGTTGCGGCTGGTCACCCGTCCCTTGCACCTCGCGAAATGCTCCCATAAGACCAAGCGTCTCAAATAGCCACTGCTGAAGAAGTCCTGTTCACTGCCTTCTCGTGGCGAAAGTTTTTTTCCACCAAAGTAAGAGGACGAATAGCCGACATCCGGGGCTGTAGCCGGGTTGGTGGAACACTGATAGTTCACCTAGGGGAGTCGGTCAAAAACCCTGATTCCAAACCAACCATGAGGAGGCGTACGAACCACACCCAC